TCTATCTATCTATCTATCTATCTATCTATCTATCTATCTATCTATCTATCTATCTATCTATCTATATCCTTGGTTTTCCCAAGGATTTTAATTTAGGAGCTGTGCTGCAGTGGTTAGAATGCAGTATTGCAGGCTAGCTCTGCCCAATGCCAGGAGTTCAATCCTGACCAGTTCAAGGTTGACTCAGATTTCCATCCTTCTGAGATTGGTAAAATGAGGACCCAGATTGTTGGGGGCAATATGATGGCTCTGTAAACCACTTAGAGAGGGCTGTAAAGCATTATGAAGTGGTATATAAGTCTATAAGTCTGCTATTTCTATTTGTCTACTTATGGAAAATAACAATTATGTCAAACTGTATCACTAATTGCCTATGTTTGATTTCTCCACCAAAGTTACTATAAACTTTGTAATCCTTCTTTTATGTTTATACCACATTTACCATGTTGTTAAGAAATATGCAAAGCCATAGTAGAAACTATATGTCACATTGTCACAATCTGAGGAGGATTTATTTTGCCATATATCTCTATTGTCAATTGTCATTTATATGTCAATCCAGGAAAGACACAATAAGCATCTGTTTTCACTGGAGGTCATCTGTCTCCCATTTCAATTCCTGCTCTCTCTTTCTCAAAAGGTTACTTTTCTTTTTTATACACATTTAATTAAATGTTTTTAAAAGAAGATTAAAAAACTAGCAAAAGCTAATACAAAGGGAAAAAAGGGGGGGGGGGAAGAAAAGCAAAAGAGGCCAAAAGAAAAGATAAAAAGAAATAGAAAAAAGAATCTTCCAATTTCCTTTGCAGCAAATACAGGTATGAATTCATAGCTATCTCTTACTCTATGATTTCAAAAAAGACTCTCTATTTTCTATTATTTAATATTTTTGGATCATCAAAACCAGAAATTAAAAAGTCAGTTTTTCTGTTTTATGTGAAAAGATTTATTAAGGTTTTCCAATCAGCCGTAAATATAGATGCCTTTTCTCTCAACCAGGAAGCCAATGTAGCCATCTCTGTAAGTTCCATCATTTTCATCAACCGTTCTCCATTATAGGCAGTGCTGAACCTTTCCACTTGAGAGCATATAATAACCTTGCTGCGATTATCATATACAAGAATGCAATGTTCCATTATTTTTTTCTAGTTGTCTTTCCATTAGTCCTGAAAGAAAAATCTTGGTTGGTTATTGTCAGCCGGATCTGCAGAATGCAATTTGAGGCTTGCTTGCCCTCAGTTGCCATGGAAACAGAGAAGGGTGTTTTTTTTTTTGGCATTTGGGGTGGAGAAGTGAGTTGGTGTGAAGTGTTCCTGTGAAGGAAGGTTTGCTACCCATCAATGGAGTGATGTTGTTTGGACTTTTCCAGGGCCAATCATCTTGGGTCGCTGGAGGCATCCAACATCTTTTATTCCAAATAGGATAAATAGGCTGAAAAACAGCTTCTATCCCAGGGCAGTAGCTCTGTTGAATTCTACTGTGTAGTGCAGTGTTGGTGTGGTGTTGAAGGTTTTCAATTCAATGTGTGGGGTGTGAAGGATGTGTGTTTGTGTTTATTTTCATGATCATGATGTGCACTGAAGATGGTGTTTGATTTCATTGTACAAGGTGCAATGACAATAAACTAAACTAAACTAAACTAAACTAAACTAAACTAAACCTAAACCTAAACCTAAACCTAAACCTAAAACCTAAAACCTAAAACCTAAAACCTAAAACCTAAAATCTAAAATCTAAAATCTAAAACCTAAACCTAAACCTAAACCTAAACCTAAACCTAAACTAAACATCTGCTGAAGAGACTTCCCATAACATCATATTGGATGCTGATTGGTCTTTATGGGCTGACCCTGGGGGTGGAGGGATTTGAGGGAACTTCCAGTGTGTAACTTTGATGTGAACTGTCTTGCCTTGCTTGTGCTGCCATCAGTTCATTCTTAGTAAAAGTACCTTTTCTCTAAATCTATGGAGTTGGGGAATTTCTTTCCTAAGATTTGAATGGAGGCCGACCTGACAGTTACTTTACCAAAATGTTGTGCTCCCTCGGAGTCAAAATGTCAGTTGGACAGTACAGAATGATGAAGTAAAGGTTAAATGTCAAGCTTAGAGACGCCACAAATCTGGTCACATTGGACTTTGCATATGTCTTCTAGTGCCCATTTAATTGAAAAACAGAGATTATTTTCAGACAAATTAGCAAAACATTCATCACCTCTGATCTACTCTAACACCACACACTTTTCAAGAGTAGTAGGCTTACGCTAAAGGCTTGTAAGCTCTTTTCAAGAGGAATAATAGCCAAAGGTCAGCTCTTTGGACTTAATCTTTTCCACTTTATCTCCAATAAGTCTTCAAATAGTCTGTACACAATAGACAAGTTAATCCAATCACTAGTACATTACAAGCCAGTGATTTCATCGGCTGTGCCCTTTAATGCAATGACATGAACTTGGATAGTTCCAATACGTGCCAAGTCATTTGATTAACACAAATGCTCCAGGAGTACCCACATTTCTCATCATTATTGGAAGCATTAATAGATTAAATAAAAGCCACCCTATTACAAACAAGATTGAGGTACTTCCCCATCATAAGCACATTTTTCATTGCAGGGGGTAATTTTAAATGAAGATTACAATTATAGAATCATTCTTTTTACTGCAAAATGAAACATGATCTCTACTCAATAATTAAATAAAAGCGGTTTTAAAACTTTAGTGACAATATACTTGATTGAATTTTTAAAAGCATTTTGTTCCTTATTTAGTTCATAATTTATTTTCAGAATATTAAAATACAGGTGCAAATCATACCTTAAGCTTTATTAAAGCCCAAGAGCAGATACGAAGTGTTTTTAATTAGTCTTGGGAATAATGCAATCTTTCCCCCCCAAAAAAAATGCTAGTAAAATTTCTAGCAAGATTAGGTCAGTGAACTTAAGTTGTACCTCAGTATGACATATAATCAGGTCAATTTTGAAAGGAATGTACCAAGCAGAATTTGGTTGAAAATAGGTATGTGTTATAAAATAGAGGTTAGAAAATGAATGCTATAACTGTAAAGGTGCAACTTAAATTTTAAACAAGATTTGAAAAAAGATACAAAGGTGCTACTCTCCAGTCTAGTAACCACAGGGGAAAATTTGTTTAATGAGAAAAGATAATATTAAATTGTAAACAGGACAGATGAAAGTATAAAAGTATTGATTAGAAAGATTTTAAAAATTAGAAAAAGATATATAATTGAATTAAGAAAGGAATGAGATAATTTAAAATAAGGCTATAGAAAGTAAAGAAAGGGAAAAGCTATTGAAAAAATTGTGAAAATAGTTATAAGATTTGGATTAGAATGTATAAGATGAATATGTATTGAGTTTGTATCTGTATGGAGAAGTAAAGGGGCATGCTGTTCTCAAAAAAAGATATTTTATTTGTATTTGTATGTTTTGTGAAAACCTAAATAAAACTTTATATATATAAAAGGAAACATAATCAGATCAGTCTACCTGGAGTTTCTTCCATGCAACTCCATGTTGATACCCTATAAGTAACAAAATTTCTAAGCAGCTCCAAACTCTAGAGTAGAGTTTTCTTGAAAGTTAACATTTTTTGTTATGTCCTTCAATTCTTAATCCAGCAAAAATAAGATTTAACTAGATCCTTTAGAAAGCACCAAAGTCACACTTCGTTCCAATCTTTTCCATGGTAATTGCTGAGTTTCCCAATTGCATAGACATATCTTGGCTTTCTCCCTACTTATGAGTGAATTTAAACATTATTCATCCATGTTTAATTCAACTTTTGTTACAAAGTTTGGACAAATCAACCACTACACAAAGCACATAAATTGTAATCAGCAGTTAAGAAGACAAACAAAGACAACAAAAAGAATCTGAAATTGTATAGGGTTCCCTACTAGAGCAGGGGGTTGTACTAACTAGAAAACCTCCAGGATCCCTTCAAATTGTGTTGTCCCAAAGGTGCTTTTTCAGGAGGCAACTGGACTTCTTGGGTTTTATTGTTGTTGTTTTTTGAATACTTCTCATCC